CCAGTAAATATTCAGTTAACTGCATGTATTGCAAGCCATGAGAAGAAGTTACTCAGATTTTGTTTTTTGCTCTGCCTCATTGCAACCTGTTCCACTGACAGTCTTCTTTTTCCTATTGCTGCAGGGGTATGGGAATGGAGGTCGTTGGTACTGAAGCAGCACCAGCAGAGGTCAAAGTATCTGATGGAGAAGTGAATCTATTCCAAGAGAAGGAAAGCAAAGCAACTGCAAAAGAACGTGAGGCAGCTGTTTTTGGTTCAGAGACAACTACCAATGTCGCTGATCTGGCACCTCCAAAGGACGCGAAGGATGAATGGCCTGAACCTAAGCAAACTTATGCCTTCTACTTCATCAAGATCCGCTCATTTGAGGATCCTAAACTGAGGGCAAAACTCGAGCAGGCTGACAAAGAATTCCAGAAGAAGATCCAAGCTCGTTCTAAACTTATCGAGGCAGTAAGAGCCAAGAAGGTATTTTTCTTACAGGTCCTCATTGGATTGAAGTAGCCTTCCTAAATCCTAACTGATGCGCCACTCTTCATCAACAAGATGTTGAATGCTTTGTAACTTGTTTCAAAACATGCTTGTTCTTTTGATAGCCATTAGCCAAGATGTATTCTTAATGGAAGTGAACAGCCCCAGGAAGCGACATGTATCTCATTTTATAACCTACAAGCACTTTGCAGGCAGAGCGCTTCAGTATTATTGCAGAGCTGAAGCCATTGAGTGCTGAGAACAAACAATATAATGAAGTTGTGAATGAGAAGATAAAGGAGATGGAGCCTCTTCGGAACAGCTTGGGCAAGTTTCGTGATGAAAATAATGCCATGAGGGCACAGAGTGCAGGTTTATGCTCTTCTATCGAAGAGCTTGACCTAACGGTATGTCCTGAACCTTTTTGCTAACATAGCTTCCATTCCAGAAACAGTTAACTATATGCTATTCTTCCATTGCTCCCCCTAGATCAAGATGCTGAATGATCGAATGGTACATGAGAGCATACCTTTATCTGAGGAGAAGCGTCTGGTGAAAGAAATTAAGGACCTTGAAAAAACCAGATCGAAAGTCATCTCTAATGCTGCTAACAGGGCTAAACTGCAAGGTACAGTGGTTGAAAAGGAGGCTATACATGACCAGGTCAAAGTAAGTGTGCCCTACTGCAATTCATCTTTTTGTTTCTGCATATATTTCTTAGAGAAATAAGTGGTAACCGCAGTCTGAACATTCAGATCATCGGGGAGGGCATTGATGGAATAAAGAAGGAAAGACAGGCAGTAAGATCTAAGATTAAGGTCCTGGAGGATGAGTTAAAACTTGTTGATGCTGAGATTGCATCGCTTCAAGAAGATTTAGATGCAGCAACTGCCAGAAAGGACAAGGCGTATGAATCGTTGCAAGAGTTGAGAGCAGTGCGCGATGCAAAAGTAAGTTTAACATATTTTTAAATTACCCTCGCAAAAATTATGCCTTTCCTTTTAGTATTATTATGTTCAATACTTGGGTTAAGAAGAGGGAAACCCTATTTCTTCTGTCTTCAGCTTTTGTTTCTTTGTTTAGATATACCTGTGTGTGCCTGTTGTTGCTTTTGTGTCTTGTTCACTGTGTACCACCTAGAGATGGCTGTGTTGCATTAGTGTGCCTGCTGTTTTGTTTCTGCTAGGCTAAGTATTCTGGAATCTGGAAGGCAACACGCTATCGTATATACACCTTTTACAGTTCTGTTTTTATAAACTGTTAATGTGATGATGCATCATCTATCCACCCCTGCTCATCAACTACCACTTTTTTTTTTGTTGATATTTCCTTTGAATGGATTTATGATCTGTCTGTCCATTCATGTATTAAACTTACCGCATTATATAGCAGCCACATGTGCATTTTAACTACCAGTTGAATTCCATGTGTAATGCTAGTTCATTTAGTGGTATGATGTTATCAGAACTGTTTTAGGCTGATGAGGATTTGTTCCTGTTGGCCATTAGTGCCTTGAAAGCTGGAGTGGATTAACTTATTGCTTGTTGCATAACCTGAGGTTGCGTGACATGGTTTCTGTTCTCCCGTGGAAGCCTGTCACTGGCTTATGATTACATGTGGCAATTCAGTGATATTCTTTTGCACTTGATCCAGAACGCATCCTCCATGCAAAACCGTTCAGTTTTAGGCAAAGCTAGGGATTATTCTTCAAGGAATATGCTGACAGAATTGCAAGAACTCCACAAGACTGAGGTATGCTTCTAAATATGTTGATATTAATGGCTCAACCTCATGTGATGCCCGCATGTTTCTGTACTAAACATTTGTTGGTTTAATAGGTCGACAAGTTCATGACCCAATGGTGTGAAAGTAAGGCCTTCAGAGAGGACTATGAGAAGAGAATCCTCGCCTCCCTAAATAGCCGACAGCTGAGTCGAGATGGTCGGATGAGGAATCCTGATGAGAAGCCCATATTTATCGAGTCACAGGCGCCAGCTCCAGAGCCAGAGCCCATCCCTGTAAAATTGCCTGCAAAACAAGCCAAAGAAGTGCCTGCTCCCCAGGAAGATGATGCTCCCAAGATTGAAGCTCATTCAAAAGGACCTGTCAAGTCGCACAAGGCAAAAGCTGCTCTTGATGCTGATGATGATTATGAGGCTGAGCCCCCGAAGGAGAAGGCCAAGCCTACGGAGGCTGATGTGGCGAAGTTGAAAGAGATCAAGAGGCAGGAGGAAATTGAGAAGAACAAGCTTGCGTTGGAGAGGAAGAAGAGGCAGGCTGAGAAGCAGGCAGCAAAAGCTGCGGCCCGAGCACAGAAGGAAGCTGAGAAGAAGCTGAAGGTACTGCTCATCTCTCTCTCTCTCTCTCATTCACCTCCTGCGGTCTATACTGTAACAATGTGACAACTAACTAATTCTTTCAGAAAGAGGAGAAGAAAGCCAAGAAGAAATCTGGTGCAGCTGACACTGATGAGCCCTCGGAATCGGATGCCAAGTCTGATGAAGCCATGGAAGCCCCAGCGGAACAAGAAGTGATCCCAGCTTCCACCACGGTAAAGAAAGAACAGAAGGAGAGTGCCCGGCACAGGAATGTGGTCAGCCGGAGCAAGGCCCCGCCACCCAAGGCGATCCTGAAGAGGAAGAAGGCACAGTCCTACTGGTCATGGGCTGGCCCAGCTGCCATAGTGGCTGCCGTGCTGGTTGCCCTCCTCGCGTTGCTGGGATACTACCAGTACTACCTCCCAGCGAATGCCAGCAACTGAGTGGATGAGGCCCGTGCACTCGCCGCCAGGCCATTTGATGATGTGGAGACCAATTTTGCAGGTGAGAAGAAAGAGTGCAAGGTCTGCTTTTGAGATGTGAAGGACCGGAGGAAAGTCTTGTTCACTTTCGATGTTAGTTTATATATATTCTATGGAGCCGAAGATACAGTTGATTTTGGTTGCGACTTTGCTAGATCTCTCTCTCTATATACTGCGACTGATATATCCCGTGTACTTTTGAAGTGAAGCGTATATTGACATCCGGAATAATGCCTTTCGCTTTAGGTATCTCAAATAATGGCCCTTTCTATGCATTTATCCGTAAGTTTTCTTTTTCTTTTTTCCCCCTTGGCATCTTATAGATGGTGCTGTTTTCCAAAGTCCCCAGATGATCCAGCAACAGTAACAGGTGAACCTGACTCAATTGCTATGTTTGATGGCAAGGCCAAGATCGTTGATTTGTTCAGCCTGGCGAGATTTCCCAAGAGAAGAAGCAGGCGGGGAGCCTTGACTAATGTGAATGTTCAGATTCAAGCTTGCTACTGAAAAAACACTGCCCTTTGCGCTACTCCTTATTGATGAACTGATAGATGCAAAACATGTGCGAGTTGATAAATCATGGATATATAGTGCTTGATGTTCGGTATTTGTACTATATATACATCACAAACGGCCCCAACTTGCCAACACCATGAGCAGATGTTCATTTAGCTGAGATTGAGCTCACAAGTTGCCGCATCTACATAATACAGATATTCTACCAACATTGTCAAGCGACTACCTTGTCAGGAATAGAGGTGATCCTGGACTACAAATGTAAAGGCTTCAGTCAATTTTGCACTATCAAACTCGAAGCCAAGTGTAGTTTCATGCACTCCAATTTGCTCCAGCGCAGTAAAACCATCATTCCTATTCTATCTATGAACATTGTTATTTGTTCGGACATCGTGGGACATGGTTAATTATCTATCCCCTGCGTTGCCAAAAAATGTTGTAACGAGATCTTTTGTGTTGTCTACGTTGGATGCACCCGAGCACTAAATTTTTGGCGTAAAAATGGGCAAACATTGCAATTGATGTTTTTACTGAAACAATAATCCAAAATATCTCTCTTTAATGAAGACATTCATAGAATTAGTCGACATTGGATTTCACAGGACCAGCAGAATCTCTTCGCCGCTCCCAGCTGCAGGAGAAGGCGAACCCTAGGCTGACATGGCGAATTGAAACTGAAAGAGATAAGATGCAGGAACAGATTGAGAACATGTTTGAGCCAGAGAGGAAGAAGAGGCAGGCCGCTTCTACGGCTCTCTTTCTTGTGTTTCACAACAACGCAACAATGAACTGTTTCAGAAAGAGAAGAAAGCCAAGAAGACAACTGGATTTGCGTTAGTTTTCTGTATATGCGTGCCAGAATTCAAGTATTGCCTCCTGCATTTGCATAGCATTTTTTTACTGCATTTGCTCAACGCTAGCATTAGCTTCACCCCGTATTCAATGTCTCCTTTCACATCGGAGGCAGGCAACGACACAAATGGAAGTGATATTACCAGCTTGTATACCTTCAAAAGGATGCCTCATAAAATTGCTGGTTTTCAGTTAACAGGCAGCTGCGCCTGCAGAACAAGACCTTCCTTGCTCTGCCAGTCTGCCTCATGTATATAGGACCAAAATTTCAGTAAGCTAAAAGGAAGGGCCACCCAAAATGGGACAATACAAAAAAAAAAGGGTGTCAGACTTGTCTATTTGTATGTATATTTCTTTAATTAACTATCCCTAAAATCGCCTCCTCTAAGCTGCAGCTCCTTGAACACTGCTGACGATTCTGCCCACAGCTTCTTGGCTACTTTGGTGTCATAGGACAGTCGGGACGATCTGATCGTTTTCCCTTTCCCACCAAAGAAATACTTCCCAGATTCTTCCTGAAATAACAGCGACCGGATACAATTCAAGGTTCATCATTTTGGTTGCAAAACTATGAAAGGTCTGCAGGATCTAACAGCAAGCTTACAGGCAGCGCCAAAGCAGCATCAAGGACAGCACCAACCCCTGTATCAGGTTTCTGCAGGAGTTTAAGGGAGCGCAGAGCCAAAAATGCGAACCAAGAGAGACATTGAGGAAGCTCTCGCATGATCTTTGTTTCCACAACACCAGGATCAGCAGCACTACAAACAAGGAATGTTTAAGTCATATGTGCAAACAGAATCATGTTAAATGACAAGCTGATAATCGTGGATGAATGAGTGAACTGCTAGAGCTTATGTTAATTGGTGATAGTAATAAACATTGTGATGAGCTTTCCTATTCTATCCTTCTGCAAGAAACATCAGAACAATAATATAAGCCAATCATTTCGTAACATCTGAAAACAGATTCGTTTTAGTAAGGTTTTCCTCTATAGTTAGAGAACAAAATATCCTGGTAAACATAGCATAACTAGAGAACGGTCCATTTAGAGACCAGCATAGAAAAGGGCCCCCAGTATTCCTTCAATAGGCAAGACTGTGGTTTCACAGTATGGAAAAAGGATGGAAGGAAATGCATGACAGATAATAGATGGTGCATACATTACAGAGACACCAGATGACATGTGAAGCTGTCGATGTAGTTCATATGAGAACATCAGCATACAAACTGCGACAAAAAAAAAAAAAAGTTAAAAATTTAGAATAGAATTACATGAAGCATAATAACAAATTGAGCCAACAAACTCACGCTTGGTATACTCATAAGTAGAAGCTAAGGGGTAACTTTCCCCTACTGAGCACCGGCCAAATTTCATCCCTCTCAATGCATCCTCGCATACATCAATACCTGACACTAGATATGCAAAAATTGCACATTTTATCAAACTATGTGCCTTAGAGTGATAGGAAGGGAGACTAGTATAATGGTAGTGCATGACCATGCAACCTAAGGATTCCAATTTCATTGAGGAAAATTTATAGGTTACTGCAATAGGAGATGACATGGTGCGCACATGGTAGTATATATCAACTTAGAAACAAGAGAGCCAATTATGTGGGTAGCAAAGGATTGAACCATGACACAACCGTATTCAGGAAACACTAGCATAATAACAGGGGAAACGGAATAAATGAAACAAAATATTAAGATTCATATAACATGGATATCTTTTGCTAATGCCACATGCTTCAGTTGTTCAACTTAGGTACAAATAGTTCGTGAAGTTTGTTAACAACAAATAACTAAACTCAGCACTTACCACACCTGTGTGTGAAAGAAGTTAGATTAACCACTCGAGAAGGTACCGAGCTGTTCTTCAGCAATGGTAAAAGAATGTTGGTCAGCAAAAATGGACCAATGTAGTTTGTCTGTATCATCCTGAAATTTGCATGCAGTAAGGGCAATAAACAATTAGCAGAAAGACAAAAATTTAATGCTGACAAACAACATCATTTGATGACGCAATGATTTTCTTTTGCTGGGACACTATCAAGTGAAGCACGTACTCATCAAGACCATCCTCAGTAATTCGATGCGACCTCGCTAATATTCCAGCATTATTTACCAAAAGCTGAATAGAAGGCTCCAAATTTTTCTCCTGAACCCATTGCTTGAGAGAACTTCCAAACTTCTTAATTGACTTGAAGGATGCCAAGTCGACCTGAAACTCTTTGAGATAGGCATCTGGCTGTTGCCTCTGAATTTCTTGAACAGTCTGCTTCACAGGGTGTGACAATGACGACAAAGAGTAAACAGTAGCAATAACAACATCTAGTGAAAGATCTCTACATAATACCTCGTGTAAGAACTGCGTGGAACGTCCAGCTGACACAGAAAAAAAAATAGAAGTGCATTCGGGTTCAGTAACTAAATCAGTAGAAAGCTATTGGCTCATTGAACATTAATATCAAGTCTTGAGCGCATGAAAAATAGGAATAAAAGATACTACGCATTGGCAGTTGACATGGATGGGTAAACCCATGAAGAAGAAAAGGGCAAATTTCTACTCTAATGACTATGGCAAGGATACAAACGAATGAAATTGGAACGAAATCCAGAGCAACAGGGGGCGAGCTGAATCCCGTGTGTAAGCAAGCAATGAGCAATGAATACTAAGACACTAAAACCGTTTGCAGGTAGTTTGGCAGATTCATCGAAGGCCATGGCTACTAAGACGCTAAAACCGTTGCAGGTAGTTTGGCAGATTTATCGAAGGCCATGGCTAGAAGAAAGGAGGGCAACCTGGCGCTCTGAAAGCTCGGAGTAGAACAGTTTCTTTTTTTTTTTAAATGATAAACTAAAGAGAAGCACCACACCTGCTCGACGGAATGCCAAGGCAAGAATAAGAACAAGAAGAGAGACGCGACTGACTCACCAAGCACGACGTGGTAGCCCTCCCGCGCGAGCGCCGCCGCCGCCGCCCTGCCCAGCCCCGACGTCGCCTGCAAGCGCCACAACGGGAGACGTCGTCATGCGGAGGAAGAAAGAGAGAGAGAGGGGGCAGACGGGCACGCGTGAGATGCGAGAGGGCGGGTATATACATACCCCCGTGACGACGCAGATGGGACAGCGGCCTTCGGCGGGCCGGGGCTGCCGGCGGCGAGGGGCGGCCGCCCGGCCGCGGAGGAACACGAGGAGGTAGGAGTGGAGGAGGGAGAGGGCCCAGAGGACGGCCATCCGCCAGAACTGCGTCGAGCACATCATGCGGAGCGCCTCGCGGTCCATGGCTGCCGGTGTGCCGTGGACTCGGTCCACGGGAAGCTGTGACGGGCGGGTAGGGTGTTCTCAGGGCTTTACTTCATTACTTGGACCACGACCCGGTCCACGTCAACGAATGCGGGCGGAGAGCAGCGGCGGCCGGAGAGCTGAGAGAGAGAAGGTGCGCTTGGTTTTGGCGGCGGCGCACCACCGCATAGGGAATTGGCAAAAGGCTCAATCACTAGCACAAAACATTGGATCTTTGTTTCTCCACAATGAGCACATTCTAGATTTGGTTATAAAATATGTTGTCAACGGTCAGGGTCTTCTCCTCTCCGTTTCTCATAATCAATACAGTATATGAAAAATATATATAGACATAAGAGATAGAAAGATTATTCTTTATTTCTCTTAATATTGGTAATTACAACATAGAGCTTTCACATATATATAGTTATGTTAAAGTTTAAGAGTTTGGTAAGAACCCACATACAAAATGGATTAGGATTATGATTCATCCTTCTCTTTTCATTCTAGGATTGAATCCGTATGTTTTACAACACTTTCCCTTGGACGATTACCACGATATGCACATGTCTCGTTAAAAACTCTATCCGAAAACTCGGTGGAAAAATGGTTCTCGGAGAAAAGAGTACAACACATTCATTAATTGTATTGCACATGTTGTCTTATTAAAAACCTTGTGTGAGAAACCTTCAAATAAAAATTCACATAGGAAAAAAGAGTACAACATTTAACCTTTCTTGGTCATGTATTCTTCAAGATATTCTATTCTTCATGAATAGATATTGATGTTCATGATCTATGCATAAACTTCAGTATTTTAGCAAATATGATCTACTTGATCTTTGTAATTATAATGGTTTACCTTCAAGATAGATTCAATAAAATATGCTCCCCTCATAAAGTCATACTTTGAACTTCAGTGTTCAAATCACACTTTTCATAAATATGTGCTTAATTAATAGTATGTAGTACCATAATACTATATCTTTCAAAAGTTGGCTCACAATTCTTCTATGAATTATAATATGAGTATAAACAAGAGCAATATGCTTCATGCATAATGACCACTCATTAGTTGTGCAAAACAAAATAAATTTTATCTTTTAGAGTAATAAATTCTTTTAGAGGATTATGGGGTAAATAAGTTATAATATTCAATATCTTCTATATAGTGTATCAACTTATACTAGAGTTTGAATACTTACCATTCCTCATTAGTTGATTTTCAAGTTATATATTCTATAAATCTTTAGGATTTTAATTATACCACTAATTAATGAATTCAGTCTTGTATTTGACATTTAGATGATAATTCATTTGCCAAATCATCAATGTTCTTATACCTTCTATGGTATTTAGAGGATATCAATACTTAATTTCCAGCTTTATAATATACACTTTTCTGAGTGTTTGTATGACACCTTCATGGTGTTTAGAATTTCTCATTTCTTTCTCTTGGGTCTATATTCACTTCAGGGATTATTGGAGTTTATTCAAGAATCGACCGATAAATCCTTCATGGATTAATTCCTTCAAGAATGTTCTCATTTTTTGGTGAATAATATTTCACTTCTATGAGATATATTCTCTACTACATGAGAGATTATTATGTGATATACACAATGAGATAGTGTTATTCACTACTAAGTCATTGGATGACTATTCCTTCTAGGACATGCTCTTCTTGAGACTAATATTTAGGAGGTGTCATGTGAGGGTGTCACATGGGGTGTTCGGATACTAATAAAAAAATAAATTACAGAATCCGTCGGTACTCCATGAGACGATTTATTTTCATAATGTACGCGCTCCTTGCAGTTGATGGTTGGTGCACTACTGCTGTGCATGTGAAGTCGCCTGACGCTGCATGGTTTGGTTTCATCGATCAGATCATCGTTTACCGACGACTTCATGAACTATCTTAAATTTAAATTTGATTAACTTTATAGAAAATAGTATTAATATTCATCACTCCAATCAAATAGATATATTATAAAAATATATTTGATAACAAACCTAATAGGTATTCAGTGTGATAAATATTAGTATCTTTTTTATATAAATTTATATAGTTAACCTTTAGATCGTTTAACTTAGCGTTGTTCTAAAACAAGTAAAGTCCACAGCGGCCTCTCAAACTTGTTCATCTATGTCATCATAGTCTCTAAACTTGTAAACTTGTTCGACTGCCGATCCCTAAACTTGAAAATTGCATATTTAGATTCTTACACTCGTTTGGCCATATCATCTTGAGTCCTAGACTTGCTAACTATCTATTTAGGTAGTCAATCTATGTTTGGATCTAAAGGATGATTTGCAAATTAAGATGACACAATTAAACAAGTTTGAGGACCTAAGCAGGCGATTTGCATGTTTAGAGATCCAAACAAGTTACCAATTATAATCTAAATGGACGATTTACAAATTTAGAGACCAGAATGACATAGCCGAACAACTTTTGAAGAACATAATAAACTTTACTCCCTCTGTCTAAAATAGAAGTCGTTTTCGCTTTTTGAGAAGTTATCTTTTTTAACTTTAACCAATTATAGAAAAGGGTCATGGCATGGGGAAAGGAACACTACTGAACCATACTACTGGTTGGAACGGATTAGTAGTACCTAATAGCAAGGGATGTGACTACTGAGCAAGACTCAGGTCAATCACGTCGCACACGCAGCAGCATAGGCAGCAAGGAGAGGCAGTAGTGAATCACGTCACAGGTCGCACACGCAGCAGTGAATCACGTCCCAAGTCAATCACGTCGCACACGCAGTAGCAAGGCATGGGTGGTGAATCGACCAGACAGCGACTGCCGCGCCGTGAGTGATGGCGCGGCGGCACCGCGCCAAGATCGGTGGTGCAGCAGACCCTACCACGTCACCGATCCGCGCCCCGATCGTCGCCACGTCAGCCCTCTCACCGCGCCACCATGCATGGCGCGTCACAGGCATTTGGCCGCGCCATGGCAATAGGCGCTGCCAAAAGTGTTAGATTTGAAAATAAAAAACAGCCCATGTTAGATTTAGAATTAGTTTAAAAAAAGTGTTAAAATTAAAAAAATATTCACGTGGAGTGGGTGCATCCGGTCCTACTGACATGGTAGCGTAGAGAAGAGGAGAAGGACCGAACGTTGTTGCTGTGTCTGATCGTGACCGACCGGACACGTCCGGTCATAGTTGAGCAGTTCTTGGAGCTCTCTGGAATTGACCAGATGCTGCCCCTCCTGCGTTCGGTCGTGATCGAACTAACGCATCCGGTCGTGACTGGAACCTTACTGAAAGTGACCGGACATTGGGGTCCTATGTCCGGTCCTACACTATAGAGCGTCCAGTCACAACTTAAGTGTACTGATGACCGTTGAGATCGGGCAATCATCATTTGAAGCAGGAGACACGTGGTAAAAATCTGAGGACCGGACGCTGGGGTCCTGCGTTCGGTCAAACCGATCGGTGCGTCCGATCGCCTTAATTTTTAGTGGACTGAGGAGCCAATGACTCTATTTCATGGGGGCTTCTATTTAAGCCCCGTGGCCGGCTCAAGCTCTCGCTCTTGGCCATTTGCATTGACATAGCAACCTTGTGAGCTTAGCCAAAGCCCTCCCACTCATCTCCATCATTGATTCATCATCTTTGTGAGATTGAGAGATAATCCAAGTGCATTGCTTGAGTGTTTGCATCTAGAGGCACTTGGTGTTCGTGTTTCGCTGCGGGATTCTCTTGTTACTCTTGGTGGTTGCCTCCACCTAGACGGCTTGGAGCAGCGAGGATCATCGAGTGGAGGTTGGTGACTGTCTCTGGCTCCGATCATGGTGATTGTGAGGGGTTCTTGACCTTTCTCCAGCGAAGAGCCAAAAGGTACTCTAGTAAATTGCTTGTGGCTTGTGTGATCCTCATCTTGTGTTTGTTGTGCGGCACCCTATTAAGGGTTTGTCGTGTGATGCCAATTAGCGCGTGAACCTCCAAGTGTGTGAATCACCACAACAAGGACTAGCTTGCCGGCAAGCAAGTGAACCTCGGTAAAAGATCATTGTGTCATCATTTGATTCCGAGGTGATTGGTCTTCATTGGTATTCAATCTTGTGATTGATTGATTCATTCCTCGACTCGGTGGTATAACCATCTTCCTCTCTCTCTTTACATTACCACAAACTAGTTATCAAGCTCTTTAGTGTAGCCAGTCGTGAGAGCTTATTAGTTTGGTTAGTGTGACTCTTTAGTTAGCCTTTGAGAGCACACCAACTTAGTGTAGTGACATAGCCATTGTGTGGATAGAGACTATATAAACTAGAATTATGGTAGGTGTCTTACATTTTTATTAGGCTAGTGCAACACTCGCTTCGCCTCATATTTGTCTATCTAGTTTGCTAAGTGTTGTTGTAGAAATTTTTATAGGCTATTCACCCCCTCTAGCCATTAGGACCTTTCAAGTGGTATCAGAGCTGTGGTCACCATGATTTGAGACTTAATAACCTTCATGTAAAAATGGCTCAAATGAACAATACCAAGAAGCCACCCCAATTTGATGCCTCAAACTATCCCTATTGGAAGGCTAAGATGACAACATATATCAAGTCAATCAATAGGAAGGTTTGGAAGGTGGTGGAGACCAAGATTGAGATTGATGATGAAGAGGCTCCCACCACCGCCGAAGAAATGCTTATTTAAAATAATGACATTGCTCTTAGTGTCATCCATGATGCTTTGAATGAGAGAACATTTGAGCAAATCAAGAACATTGAGAGAGCTCATGAAGCATGGAAGAAGTTGAAGGAATCATTTAAAGACACTCAAACCGTGAAGGGTGCAAATGGCATATATTCTCAAGGAGAAGTTTGCAAGCTTCAAGATGAAGGAGGATGAGAGTGTGCCGGAGATGTTTCATAGGATTCAAGTACTTGTCAATGATCTCAAAGCACTTGGAGAAGAGGTGAAGGACAAGGACTTCTCCCACAAGTTCTTGAGATGTTTACCTTTAAGATTTGGCACATTGGTCACTAT